ATATATATATATATATATATATATATAGTGACACACATACTTGTCTTCTATAAGGATATGATCATTCTGGTCATATTCCCCAACTGATCATCAAACAGCCTTAGGTTGTGTGAAACTGTGGAAGAAAAAGATAAAACATGTAATTTAGCAACTGTTCTCCTTTGTCTGATGTTTCCATGTTCCTCACCCCTCATTCTTTATTCGGAAGGGCTGATAGATGGAAACAGAGCATGCATTTCTCTGCAAGTGACCCATTATGTATCCTGAGTTTACAACAAGAGAGGAGACTGTCACACCTATGCAGAGATCTAATGAAGTCAATGGGGCAAAATGAAAGCACAGCAGTGCACCTGAATGGCATAAATCATGGATGCAAAAATAAAATAAATCTTTTACCTAGCATTTCTCTCTTTAAAGCATTCCCAAAATTGCATTTGTGTGGTATGTTCATACACACTTACACATACATTCCACAACCAAAATACAGCCTGCTGATTACTGGAGATAAGTCATAAACCACCCAGATGGGCCATTTCAGGTAGAATATACAGGCAACCCCCTGTTAAGGATGTTGTACAGTAGGATTTGAATAGATGCAAAAAATAGGTATGATGTTGATTTATAGAGTTAAACCCTGAAAACCCAGAGCTTGCAGAAAACACTTTATTCTGTCTATATCAGGATGAACAGATGAGTCGATGCTGTTTAGATGTGGACAGTGGTGGTAGAGTCGCAACTTCCAAACATCGGGCTCCAACCTCCCAAGAGCCATCCCTTTGGAAATCCCTTTGCTTTCGTGTAAGTTGGACCAATCACTACTGGGCAGTCAGAACATGGCTTAAAGTACATAGCAAAGAAGTAGATCGGGGCGGGCAATTATTTTGCGCGGAGGGCCGCTTACTGAGTTTTGGCAAGCCATAAAGGGCCACATGATAGGCAGTCAGGGGCAGATAAATATGAATTTTCTAAATTTTTTAGGGGCCCTGCGAGCTGGATAGAGTGGCTTGGCAGGCCGCATCTTGCCCGCCCCGATGTAGATGCACAACTATGAGCACCAGGGCACTAACTGCCCAGCAGCTCCAGCAACACCCCACACAGCACTTGCTTTCCTGACACGTCCTTTGCGACTCACAAGCAGACTTTTTGCTGTATCACTATTGTTGAATTCAAGGTTGCATTTCAGGTTTTGGAATGGCTGACAGAAGAAAAATCCAGTCACACAGTATCAACGCCTGGCATTTTAACAGCACTCTACTGTGGTGTGGTATACAAGTTAACAAAACTTCAGAGAGCCCCTGTAATATTACTTCCATTTTTCTAATGCAGCCAGTGAGATGAATGAAGCGGCTTGTCCAAGTTAGGCCCACACAGGCCAGAGGACTTCATGCCAGTGCCGAGATGTTGGCCTGAGTGCAGGATATGGCCTAGCGTAAACCTAGACCGAGTGCAGCATCAGAGGTCATTAGTTCCTGACTTTAAGCTCAACCTATTAGGACTGCATTAGCTCTGAATATGAGGTAAAGCTGGCTTTCCACCTGTCTCTCTTTTACAGCAAAACCCCAGGAGAAGGACTTGCTCTTCAGAGGCAGCGAAGAGAAGGCTGCCAGGGTAAGGAACCCGGCACCAGGCTAGGAACGAGACCGATGCTCTTCAGCCCTGCCACGGTACCACAAACCTAAGGTTAGCTGGTTACTAACTGAGGAGACAGCTGTTGTCTCCAAAGACCCCACCCTGGCACACGCGGGCCCTCCTCCACGGCAGGCGGTCAGAGGCACGGCGGAGCTGGGACGTGCCCACGGCAGCAAACAACCCTCCCTGCGCCGCAAGCACCTCGCAGGGGACAGGCACGTACCTACCCGGGCCGTCCCGTCCCGTCCCGTCCCTCCGCGCCCGCCAGGCCCGGGCGAGCAGCCGCCACGTGACTTCCGCGCCTCCCGCCCCTTCCTCCCCGGCGGCGGCGGCGGCGGCGGCCGTGCTGGGAAGAGCCGCAGAGGGGAGGGCCCGGGCCCCGGGACAAGCCGGCTACCAGCCCGGCCCAGGGGGTCTCACTGCAGCCACCCCGGGCGGCCCCCCTCGCCCATGCCCATCGTGAGCCTCGGCCTGCCGCTGCCGCGACCGCTTGTCTTGCTCCTCCCCTCCTTGGGGGCTCGAGGGTTGCAGCTGGTTATAACGCGCTTGGAAAAATCCGTCTGTCCCTGGAGATTTTTTCCAGTCCCCCAAATTAGCAAGGGGGGCATGGGGGGAAATCCAGGGGAGTGCTGAGCCCGGGGCAGCCGGTGCAGCGGATCAGGGAGTAAGAGTTGCAGAGCCGGGGAGCCTCACCCCGAGGGTCCTGGGGATGGTGCAGTTTGTGTTTATGGTGTGGCGCAAGCTGCTGAGGAAGCGTTGGGTCCTGGGCATTGTATTTGGACTTTCCCTCATCTACTTCCTTACCAGCACCTTCAAGCAGGTCAGTATTGCATTTCAAATGTTACCCTTCTTCTCTGTTTTCACCTCTTTCTTTATCGCTTGAGGCCTAATCCTGTACAAACTACCGTGCCTAGGAAACACTAGCCAATCCTGGTAGAACTGGGCCCCTGGACTGTGGGCTCCTTGGGACCCAGGGTACATCTTGCTCGGTGCTAAATGCTGTGTAAACATACAAGTTAGAAAACTTTTTCCTAAAGGTTGCCTTCTGGCTAAACTTTGTGGAGTCACTTAAAAATAAAACAGGAGATGTTAATTTTTTTTAAGGCCTGGAGATAGTGACGGATCTCCTCATCGTGAGTTAATGTTTCTGTTTCTGTTTCTTCTTCCAGCATTGTTGGTCCTGATTCAAGAACAGGACATTGTGCAGGCATGAGGGCCTCTGTATGTACATTCCTGTAGGAGGAGCAGGATCTAAGCCAACCTCAGGAACCTATTAGCAAGAGTGTTAAAACGTAATGGGAATCGGGCATCAGACTTCAATAGCTGACCTTGAAATTACAGGCTATTTGTGTAAAAAGAAAGTGTTTATTTAAAATGATTTACAGTTCTGTTGGTAAAAATAAGAACTGCCTCACCAACTTTTGTAAATGAGCTTCATCAAAAAATATCTACCTAATTAGATCTTTGCTTGAAGAGAGAGAGATTTAGTCTCTCAATAATACCCTTCCAAAGTCCTTAGCAATTCTAGGGACAACTGACTTTCTTAATGCTTCTTCTTTTAAGTGTCACCCATATATAACCCGGGTTGTGCCTATTCTTCTTTGCAGAGCAGTTTTGGAAGGTTCTTTTTGTAGCCTGGTTTTCCATACACAACCTGAAGTATTTTAAGACCTTCTTTATCTCTAAATAGACTTGGCCTAGCTGTTCTTGAATGACTTCCAGCATGTATCCTCAAGTGTTCACTTGGTATGATGTAGAGGAAAGCACCTTTAATGGTCAGTCTGTGTATAGCATTAGGAATTTTTACGTAGTGTTTAAAGTCTATGCTTTGAAGAACAGTAGTTTAAGATTAACCCATCTGCCTAAGTGTCTCCCTCTGAACTGGAAAAGGTACTATTTTACAACCTCGTGAGGGGTAGGCAATGAGAGGTAATTACTACCAAGTGTTTGGGATCCCTGCATGGAAGGTATTGCAGAAGTGCCTGTCGTGTTGTTCATGGGTCCCCTGCTTTTGAAAGGGGGCTGGTAAAATGTGGAGAGGGGAGCCCACTCTTTGATGCTGAAACAATTTGCAGTATATATTGGTTATTTAATGAAGAGAAAACTATCTGAATTCTAATGCACTTGCTAATTTGCAATAATGATTACAATAATGCCCTGTTACTTTTCTTTTAATTATGTTGATTTAATGTTGCATGCCACATATGGTAAACCACCTTCTCTGGTAAACCACTTCCTGTGACAACCTGCGTGTCGCTCCCTATTGCAGTGTTTCTTGAAGTTTCATCTGTCTTGAGATTTGTAACAATTATATGTTTAGTTAGGGGAAAAATACCTAGAGAGGTTGTGGAATCTCCGTCCTTAGAGGCATGGACGACTGGTGCCTCCTGAGCCTGGGGGGGCACCAGATTGCCGGGGGGGGGAAATGTCTCCCAGCAGCCGGTTGCTGACCAGGGTAGGGGAGGAACCGGAAGTGCATTTGCAGCGGCACTTCCTGTTTCACGGCTGGAGCTTCCAGGGGAGTTCACGGCCAATATCAGGGGGTGCATGTGCACCCACGTACACCCCTTACACGTCACCAGTGTTTACAGGTTTTTAAGACCCAGGTAGACAAAGTCTTGGCTGGGATGAGATAGTTGGGGGTCATGGAATCACAGAAAATTAGGGTTGGAAGTGACCTCAGGAGGTCATCTAGTCCAACCCCTTGCTCAAAGCAGAACCATTCTCGATTATATAATTCGAACCAGGGCTTTGTTGAGCTGGGCCTTAAAAACCTCCAAGGTTAGAGGGTCCACCATGTCTCTAGGTAACTCATTCCAGTGTTTCACTACCCTCGTCATGTGAGAGTTTTTCCTAATATCCTGCCTAAACCTCCCTTGCTGCAATGTGAGACCATTGCTCCTTATTCTGTCACCTGCCACCACTGAGAACAGTCTAGCACAGGGGTGGGCAAAATGGCAGATCCAGCTGCTGGCCCTTCCCAGCAGTCCCTGTCCATGTTGCTCCTGCCAGTTTCCAGGGAGATGCCAGGAGCAGTGGGGCCATGACAGCATGAGGCCAGGGTTTCTATGGAGACCGGCCCAAGCAGTGCTGGCAGGGCACCCGGCTGGGTGCAGGGCTGGGGCCAGTGACAGTGTGGGACAGATCTGCTGCCTGCACGCCGCTGCCCAGGGCATGCGGGTAGCAGATCACAGCTCTGCCCTGGCTCTAGCCCGTGCTGTCACTACAAGATACCAAGTGCTTAGAAATCCTGCTCCTGATTTTTCTGGGGAATGAGGGAAACTGACTCGTCTGTAGTTCCTTGGATCCTCCTTTTTAATTTTCTTAAAGGTGGGCACTGTATTTGCCCTTTTCCAATAGTTTGGGACCACCCCCCCAGTTGCCATGAGTTTTCAAAGATAATGGCCAGTGGATGTGCAGTCAGCCCCATGGACTTGTAGACATCAAGCTTTTCTAAATAGTCCCTAACCTGTTCTTTTCACCACTGGGGGCTGCTCACCTTCTCCCAAAACTGTGCTGCCCTGTGCAGTAATCTGGAAGCTGAGCTTACCTGTGAAGACTGAGGTAAAAAAGGCATTACGTACTTCAGCCTTTTCCTCATCTGTCACTAGGTTGCCTCCCCCATTCAGTAAGGGACCCACCCTTTCCCTGACCTTCCTCTTGTTGCTAACATAAACTTCTGTTTATGTAGGATTGCAAAGTACGTGGTTCTGTTTTGAGCAGGGGGTTGGAGTAGATGATCTCCTGACATCCTTTCCAGCTCTGATTTCCATGATTATGAATTGCGCACTTGGCAGAATGAAGTAAGAGAAGGAATCTGCATGTTCACCTCCATTCTTCTATGTCATTGACAGGAAGAAAGGTCAGTACGAGATCGAAACCTCCTTCAGGTACAGGACCATGAGCAGCCCATTGTATGGAAGGTGCAGTTCAGCTTGGGAAACGGCAGTCAGCTGAGTAACCAGTGCAGGAATTCTGTCCAAGGGAAGCTCCTCATTACAGATGAACTGGGTAAGGCTACTGAAAAGAATCTCTTGTGCAGACCATGATGCTGATGGCTTTGCCTACTTTTAGATCTTTGCTGAGATTTTCAAGTAGCAGTCCACTCCACTCTAAATGCATTCTTCATACACTAAACTGTTTTGATCTGGGTAATGTCTGAAATGCTCCTTCATGAGAATAGACGGCCATGGATACCTGACATGTTTTACAGCTGTGTGCACACATAGCCAACAGATGATTTAAACCCCAACCCCAAGGTAATTCTATCTAATTCAGTGTAGAATTAGTATATGGTACTTTTGGTGTAAGTTACAGCAAAGGTCTGTGCAATGTGCCTGTGGCTCACCCAGGAGTAATCATTTGTGCAAAACAAACATGCTTTTATCTGTTTCCTGGAACCTAATGGAGAGGCGTGGTAATAGTAGCCTAAACTGAGTCTGCTGCCTTGGGATAAGCTGCTCATTGTCTGCCTGGAATCCCGAAGTAATTTACATCAGGGTAGAAAATGGATGTAATTACACCAATGTGGAAATGTCTTGTATCCTGGCACAATACTGTTTCCCAGTGAAGTAAGTTGCTCTAGCTGTCTCTGGGATTCTGTTAAGGTGTTTGCAAAATTCATACCTGAGGTTTCATGGTTTCATAGTTTCTAGGGTCGGAAGGGACCTGAGCAGATCATCTAGTCCAACCCCCTGCCATGGCAGGAAGAGCACTGGGGTCAAATGACCCCAGCAAGGTGGTCATCCAACCTCCTCTTAAAAATCCCCAGGGTGGGAGCCTGCACCACCTCACTTGGAAGCTGGTTCCAGACTCTAGCCGCCCTGACCGTGAAGTAGCGCCTGCTGATGTCCAACTTAAACCTTCCCTCCGCCAGCTTGTGACCATTGTTCCTGGTCACTCCTTGCGGCGCTCGGGGGAACAGGGACTCCCCCAGTGCTTGCTGATCCCCCCCTAACCAGTTTATAACAGGCCACAAGATCCCCCCTCAGCCTTCTCTTTTGAAGGCTGAACAGGTTCAGGTCCCGCAACCTTTCCTCATAGGACCTACCCTGCTGTCCCTTGATCATACGAGTGGCCCTCCTCTGGACCCTCTC